AAATATATATTACCAAGACGCTTTCTTATACAGCTTTTCACATCTACCTTGCTATCAACGGAGCATGTCCATAGAATATGTACGAAGTCAAATTTAACATTTATTTCGTCAACATTATATTGTTCTATCAGTTTGAAGATGAAAACAGGAGCTAAACACTAATGCGTCTGCCGTAGTGTAATGTGGAGAGATATAATTTCCATTGTCATCCATCGATGATAGATTGACAGTCATTGTGATTGAATGAATAGCATTTCATCTTATTAGATTCCGCATTCAAGTGGGCGCTTACGGGCTGGATACATATTTTTGATTTGTACATCACTGAGGCTGAACGAGCCCCGATAATCAACCTACTTTCAAACCTTAGAAGTCCCTCTTATCACACATAACTTAGAAAATGACTGTAAGTCTGGATGTGCTGAAGAAATTAAATCTTCATTCATTAGCTACGATTGTAGTGGAAGTCTGTTCAAGTGATGTGCTTGTTTGCACAGTGTTATTAATAAGCTGCTTTGCATTTTTTACCGTCTAAAATGAACACATTGTTGTTCTAAAATCACCAAATCTTTGAGAATAATTTTATTTGTCACGAACAAATCTTTCACACAGTTTTAGAGCTTCTAGTATTTCCTCGATTTGTTAGCTGAACGAAGCTCATAAAACGACTGTTGTAAATTGTCGTTTTTAAAAATAATAAAGATAGTGCAATGCATTTCGCATCTTGAAGAAATTCAAGGCTACTCCAGTTACCAAGTAATGCACTTTTCACATCAGAAGTTAATCGGAAACTAAATATTCATCTATGTGAGCCTATCAGAATGGCCATTACTGACTCACTTGAAGAATATGGAACTTCCTAGATGCAGATCATTTACTTTTACGATGAAGAATACCAATTTGTATACGTACTGTGTTCAAAAGTTTCGTGACACTTGAGTTATGTCCCAAAGCCATTTTTGGAGGTCTGTAATCTCTAGAAAAACATCATATGATGCTCCTTAACAATGGTGACAGTAGTAGCAGTAACAGTTACGATAGCTAGTTACCTAGAGCGATAGTTTGTTGACGAAAAAGTAAATTTGAATATATGTAAATCGAGTTGTAATTCTGTGTACTTCTGAACTGTGTACGAACAGTGTAAGAAAGGATAGATAGTGGCTAACAGTGGAATCCAGGGCACATGTTTCGTTCTGTTCGGGACGCTTCAGCTAGATGTACCTGCATTCCAGGGTTGTCCACTCCACGACTCGAGCCCGGTCCCATTCGCTCGTAACACCAACGTGCTATCCACCTAGCTGGTTCAGATAGCCACTTTGCTTACAATGCTTTTGACCTAAGGCAATATTGAGGCAATACGCGCAAGATGCATATGTGTCTATAAGGGACTGGCCAATTGCAGTTTTAAATATCAGTGAAAAGTTGTGAACAACTAATGCAAAATTTATTAAAATTTTAGCCCATATCTCGAGATAGTGGCTATCTGGATTCAGTAGTTAAGTGGATAGTGCGATGGCGTTCCAAGTGAACCGTACTGGGTTTGAGTCCTATTACGAGTATCTAATCTGATATGAAAGTAAAATCAGCTGAAGAGTCCGGAATACAGAGAAACATGCGTTCTGGATCCTACCGTTAGCCACCATCTATATTTGCTTACAACGCTTGTGACTAAAGGCAATATCGGGGCAATCCTCATAGGATGTACACGAACCAATAAAACTGACCTGCTGCAGTCCTAAACATTAATGGGAAGATTCAAACGAACAACACAAAAATGAACGTATACAGGCATGTTCGCTAGTCGCGAACGCTGCAAACATAGAGATACACAAAACCATGGGAGAGACACCTGCTTAAACACTTACTTAAACATTTTACCATTACATACAGTCAGGTTTCTAGGTCATTTTTTTTCATGAAATGTCAGATTTTGTTGTTTTACGATCAATTTGAATGTCAAGTTATATCAAAAAAGACATTAGAATGATCACACCGTTGTATGGAAAGTGCTGTGCCCACGAAACTAGGGCACATTGTGATTATGTACCAAATTGTTGTAAGTCATTGTCCGTTACTGTCAGTTTTTTACGTAACGGATAAGCATAACAAATTTAAATGAGGTAAGAATTGGCGGCTTGTCTAGAAACTAAACAAGTTTTAATCGTTATGTCGAGAGCTGCAGTTACACGTACTCATGTCCGATATGCTGTGCAACAAGTACAGGGAAGAACCAAAATCTTTTGACCCAAAATGACAAATCGAACAAACAGTAGGACTTGTGCAACTATTCTGGTAGAAGTAATCAATACAACCGCAAAATGTCCCACTAAACAACAATATAAGCAATACTTAACTGAGTGTGCGATATCTATTAGTTTAAGAGAAGTTTTAAATACTTCTGGGTTGTTCATGTCTTGTAACACTTTAAGCCTATTATCATGATCACATACGACAGGAATATAGATGTCCAACAAATAGAGTTAAGCGTCCAAACCTCCAGGACTATCGATGACTTTAGTATCAGACAAACACTGACGTATTTGGTCAAAGCAATTCTGACTACGAAGTTTTGAAATATGAAGAAGCAAAAATAAGTAATGTTGTTGGTTCTCAAGCGATCTGAAAATAATTAACAGATCATACCCGAAGGTACGAGTGTTACTGAGTCTTCCATTTTCTTGAAGTTCGTACTTACGAGATAAAGTAAATAAATATATATATTTGTAATATCCCAATGAGTAGAAAATTGGATTTTCTGACGTTTCGTGGCTTAACGTAAGTCACTTCTTCAGAGAATAAATAACCAAATTAAAATTAATCCAAGTTTAAATAGTACAACGGAACAATGCAAGAATAATATTTGATCAATCAAAAAAACAGGTCTGAACAAGTTGATGTTATGTCATTTCAGTCAAGGTGATTCATAAGTGATAAGTATGTAAATTTGTGTGTGTATGTATATGTGCATTGTTTAAGAATGAAAACTTGTGTGACCTTTATGGTAAGAAAGGATTACATTATAATAAGGTTTCGAATGAAATGCCATGGATTGGTACTGTAGTTCTACCATACCGTCATGGCACAACAGAAGAAATTCAAAGAATCTTAAAACACCACAGAATTAAAGTGTATTACAAAACAACGAACACACTACGTAATACTTTAGTTCGCCTGAAAGAAAAAATCCCTTTCATGTCCACACAGAACTGCGTTTACAAATTAGGTTGTATCGATTGTGATGCCTATTATATTGGAGAGTCATCCCGCGAAATCGTGACTAGAGCCAAAGAACATATTAGATACACAAAGAAACCTCCTAACAATCCGGTAGAATTGAACCAACTTCAAATTAAATCGGCAATAGCAGTTCATGCCATTTTCAACAACCACCAAATCGATTTTAAAAATATCAAAATATTGCAAAAAGGCTTTTCCAACTACAAAGAAAGGAGGGTAGCTGAGGCGTTCCACATAATGCTTAATCCTACTTCTCTCAATAGAAAAGAAGGCCTTATCATACACCCTACTTGGACCATCTATCCTAACCATTCAGTCTGATCGTATTTACAATTTCACACTTTCATATTACAAATTTAAACTCTATCCTTTCTTACCATAAAGGTCACACAAGTTTTCATTCTTAAACAATGCACATATACATACACACACAAATTTACATACTTATCACTTATGAATCACCTTGACTGAAATGACATAACATCAACTTGTTCAGACCTGTTTTTTTGATTGATCAAATATTATTCTTGCATTGTTCCGTTGTACTATTTAAACTTGGATTAATTTTAATTTGGTTATTTATTCTCTGAAGAAGTGACTTACACTAAGCCACGAAACGTCAGAAAATCCAATTTTCTACTCATTGGGATATTACAAATATATATTTATTTATAACAATCAACCCAATGCTCAATTTATTCGAAATTATCAAATCAAACCTTGGTAATGACACTTACGAGATAAAGGTTGATCACAAAATTTCATTAGCCTCCGAATTCTGTTATTGTTATCATAGTAACCTGTTATAAAAAATGATGATGCAATGAAACACTGACAACAGAAATTTTTATTGTGTATGACTAATCCGAATAAACTTAATTAAAATCATCTCGACGATATTTGGCAACGAAATCGACTGTCACTATTTGATGCTGTTCGGCTGGTAATAACTCTATTCATAATCATATCAATTTTGATCTAACGACTGGGTTGGTCAGGTAATTATGTGGAGTCCAGAAAATTATCGAACGATCACAGTTATTGAGGCTGTAAGAACAAATGAACTGGACACAGTATATTTATCTAATCAGGAAAACGATAAATAGTTAACTTTGAGTAGACATTCTAAGACGTAAGGATGACACAAGTATTCGAATTTTGACAACTCATTGACATGTAATTATTTTGTAATAGAAGTACACCAACCCAGTCACGTGAAAATTCGGAAGATATAGTTAGAGACCTGTTGATGCAACGACAAGCGTTTGATCAAAGCTGACTAGAAGTTGCAAATTGAGTGTAGCACAGTGTGCACACTCGTGATCTGGTATGGAAAAGTGACCAGGCTCCCTCAACTAGGTGCGTCCAGTAAAACCAGTGTCGAAGAAATAGCGAACTATTTGTTTTCGGTTACAATTTAAAGCTGCAGACTTCCATACTGTATATGTTAATTTATTCCATGAAAAATTAGAAGACGAATGAAAATTCCGTGGATACAATCCGGTTTATTCAGGAAACACTACTTTTCAAAAAGGCAACTAAGGAGAAAGTTTGTTACAGCAGGAACTGCCTTGTAGGTCCAGTGGAACATTGAAATTACTACCATACATGATATGATCAAAAGCTTAACATGAGATTTCTGTTATAATGTAAGATTTTATCTTATCTCAAAACTTCAATTATATTTCCTCCCTATTTATTTGGGTTTTAAGTTTCGAGGAATATTTCGTACCTTCAATTTTGTTTATATCGTTCGTTCAACCATTGAGAGTCGAATTTCGCTTGCAATCTGTTCTAGGTGGATTCATGTTATACGTTAAGACCTTGTTCTTTACCACTAAAATATGTTGTTTATCAATCTGTGATTAAGTTGGCAATAATGTATGGCAAGAACAAGTCGGTTGGGATCCCGTCTGATGCTCAGTCTAAAGAGAAGTTAGTTTAAGAATTCAGTTTATTGCTGTAGATTGGCGGTGTATGTTTACGAGTACCTTGTGCATATCGGGGCACAAAAGACAGCTAATTCTTTTCTCCAAGAGGTAATGTCTTCTTAAGTAATGCAGTTACTTAAGATCCGGTGGGACAAATCAATAAGCGTCGGCGAGCCTCCTGGATTTTTGCACTCATGGTGGAGGTAGGTTTAGTTCTTTTTCTTTACTTTGGTTAGTGTATTTTGGGACCTGTACAGTGCTGCTCCTGAAAGACGTGATACACATGAGCACTCAAGCGAAGCCAAAGCATTCCACGACTATGTAAGCACTTTTATGGCCTAACTCTAAAATCATAGGGTTTTGTGAATTCGGGTTACCCAAATGGATTACCACATGTAAGTTCGACCGTTTATCTGTAGTCTTTTGTTTGTGCTACTCTATTGGCTTTGCCTCAGCCAGTCGGCTTCATGGCTGATGACGTTATCACGAGGTTTGTTACTGGATGAATAATTTTCCAAGTGTAGCTCTCTCTTCGTTTGTTGTCTCAAATATTCTGCCTGTCACCAAATTTTTGTGTCTGAGCGCTACACGGTAAACGACCGTTAGGATCTTGAAAGAATAATATCGATACTCGGTAACGATATTGTTAGTGTCATTCTAGGCTGGGAGATTTCAATCATACCTACGGTGTTTTAAAAGGGAGAAATATCATTTAATTCCTACCGCTTAGTAAACTGCTAGTGTTTTTTTAATATCCAAATCGTCACAAACACCAAATTCTTAGGGTAAATGTATTCTTTCTTTATTTCAGTACCTTGGGGAGGGGGTTTCAAGTTCATTTTCTTCAATACCGTATGTTAGGATTCTAATCAAATTAACACCCAAGTTAGTTTCATATCTGTTACATCCTAAATAGGTTGATAGTTATCATTGATTCAAGATATTTAAGTCATCACTAGCAAGTTAGTATATTCATCAATGGTCATAGACTGGGTACGGGTGATTGATCTTATTGTTTTATTGTCATCTGGTCAAAGCATATATTACGTATACATGTACCTGGTCATGTAAAACCTAACCATATAGTTTCAGTATTCTACATTTTTCCCTTACGTTAGACCAACTTCTTGGTTCAAATACATCTGTTAAACTCCCACATTCTTAGTACCACCCAAACTAACTAAATGTCTAGTTTAGAGCCACTATGAGGAAACGGATTCTCTTCTTCTTCCTCATCCACCCGAAGAGTATGAAACAGAAAGATTATATATCTGCTTGTACGTCTGAAACATATATTGAACACACTAACCATAGCTGTAGTTTAGCTTAATATAAAGTGAAGTAATCTGTAATTTCAACAGCATCCACGTGAATATTCATATGCAGATTCGTGTATTCAATCAAAAGCTGTGGTTTAAATTATTCTAATCTTTTGAATTATTCATGTCCCTTTTTTCTATTTCCAAATTTATTTCACTGTATTATACTCCTTGAGTAACATCTCTAAACCATAGTGTTTCCGATTACTGTTTATGTTTTTACTGCCTCTATCACCATGGGATTTGAATCGACAACTGCATTTCTGTGCTAATGTGGTATGGCAACTCGAACTGATGTACATACGTACGAAGTTCTACGTTGTTACTGACTGGTTTAAATATACCCGTGTTGTTAACATTCAGTAGTTTCACACCACAACCTCTGTGGTTGCTTGCTCCACCCCTAAATATTGACAGCCGCGCTTTATTCCGAGGCCATATTCCTTAAGTGCAAGTACCATCAGTGTAAAAACTGTCATTCTAGATATCTAGACTAGCTAATTGGGAATTTCAAACGAAAGTATTTTATTTGACATGAAGTCGGTGCTTGATTCCGCTAATCGAGAACAGTCTCCCTAGCTAAAAAAAGTCATATTACATGGCTTGAAACGCCCTAGTCAATAGTTCGCTACTTGGTAACGTATGGCAAAGTTATTATTTAAATTGTCTATGTTTAGCCGTATTTGTTCGAATGGTTCGTATTCTACATATTTCATTCACGTGTTTTGGAAATGCCTATGGTAACAAGTTTTTTTTGCGACTATCCTGTCTATTTAAAGTGGGAACAGCCTTATGAATCGACAGAACCATTATTTAGATACTTTTGATTAACTCAGTATTTTCCCCATAATTGTCTGAAGGTTTTTTTCTGAATGTACTCTACAACAAAAATTTCAAATAAAAAATGCCTAGACTTTTAGATTACATTTACATTAATTTATCAGGTATATTGATCAGTCAAAAAGTGTGGAGTCTAGTGAGACTTCGTTTGCCCAGAATGTAGTGGTTGGAACTGGGTTCAGACCTGAGTTTTATTGGTTGAAAGTTGAATGTCTTATCGATGATCTTTAATGTCGTATGTTGTATGCAAGTTGATCATCACCTAGTAGGGCAGTAGCGTAAAGGCTAAGGCGTTCAACTTACAACCACTAAGTTTTAAGTTTAGGCCCATCTCCACGTACTCCGGTTTAAGAAACAGAGTACTGTCTCTAGCCCTCACGTTTAGGTTGATTCAAATCCAAGTTGTATCTAGTCGAATTAAATTTAGGGTTTTTTATGTTGAATGTTCTTGATAAATAAAATTTTTGAGTAATTTGTATTATAAAACATTTTTTTGCATTTTGATTTGACGTCAATTCTCATTAGAAATGAATCCATCTCTCATTCAAGTCGATTTAATTATATCTTATCTGATTTGACAGCCCAATCACCCTGTTATGTCTGGCCCCCCAAGTGTCAGTGGTCCTGGTGGAGCAGGACCGGGAATGCCTCCTCCACTCGGACCCCCTGGACCCGACCCAGTATCAATGAGACAAAGGCCATCTGGACCACCTTTAATGACAGCCAGTGGTCTTCAAAATCCAGGACCTGGTTTACAAGGACCTTCACCTCATCATCCATCAGTACGATTTCATCAACCTGGTACAGGTGGATATCCAGGTATTCCTGTCGGTAGTAGTATGATTCCTCCACATGCAAATTTACTGCCAGGTTCGGGTCCTTCACATCCCATGCACGGTAGCCCTATGATGCCTCATCATCACCCACCCGGTGCCATTGTAGGTCACCCTCGTCCTAGGTGGATCGGTCCATCTATTCCACAACAGGCAGGTGGTCCTCCATGCCCTCCCCAACAAGGCGGTGGCCCTCCAGTTTGTTCAGGATCGGCTGGGCCGAATTCAGTATCGTCAACTGGACCTGGAAGTGTCGGTCCGGGTTCGTGTGGAGGCAGTGGTATAGTTCCTAGTCCCGGTCATCCTGGTACACCAACTCAACACGCTCCTCATCTTGCTGCTCCTAGTCCCATCAACAATCAGGTAAATGTTTGAATGTCCCAAATACTACTCTGGGTTGTTTTTTCAGGGAAATTATTATGACATATTGTTTTCGAAAGACTAGAGCGACTATGTAATTATATTAATATAGTATAGTATGGAAGTAAAATGTAAAATTTTCAGTGGTTCCAATTTGTCAGTCATTTATGTAGCTGTCCATAGTTCATGTAAGGTATCCAAATGTTCACAATGCTAACAGTTATGTAAAATGATGTAATGGCTCCCTCAGTGGTTTCTCCATGTAATACTTACGGGGTTTAATACTCCGGACGTGTTGTTTAAAATACTAAATTAAGGTTTATTATTTTTAGTTTCGTTTAAATTGATTTTGTGTTTCAGTGTAAAAATTGGTTCAATTTATAGTTTGTATAGACACAGGCTTCATATGGAATGATTTTGTTTTTATGGGAATGGAGATCGGACATAACAAAATTAAGCAACATTATGTGACAAAAACACTTCAGTTCCTTTAGCCCATGTTCACAAAAAAGATGGTCTTATTTGTACACGGTTTTACTAATTCTTCAGGATTCAAAACTGCAATATACTTCGTCCATATTTTATTTGTTATTGAGCAAAGTAAGTCCAAGCTACTAGTGAGGGAAAGGAAATAGTTTGTATGTAAAGTATGGCTTCCTAACCCATGACGTCACTTTGGTGGGTGTAAGCAAAAAACTGAACAGTATTTTCAAGATAATTCTAGCGTCATGGTACATCAAAAATGTTTACACATTCGATCAAGTAATTGTATCCTTGTTTTTCATGATTGACTTCCGTAACACATTTTACTTTTACTGTATATTCTAGCTTATCACCGTATTCATGACCGTTTTTCTCATCTTTTTGTCACTTGATGAATTGTAACTAATGATTTAATAGTATGGTCTTATTTTTCATTTCCTATTTCATTTAAATGTAAACAAATGAATTTTATCTAAGCTATTCACGGGTTAGCTACAAATTTATGTTAGTAGTACGTCTTTAAATTTGTACAAGTTAAAGGGACCCATAATTAACGATTTTTAATGGGTTATCGAGATAAAATTAAGGGAAAACCATAAATTAGATTAGCAGTAGCTTTCCCTTCGTAATTAAGAGGTTTTAACCATACACACCTATATTTATAAAGCTCAAACTATCTCTTATTAATATAGTACTGTTTTAGTGTACAGTAATTGGTGACATCGTTGACAATATTGCTGTATATATACAAATGTCCGCCTACCTCATTCTGTATGATAACTTTTTTCAACTTCAGTCTAACGATCACCAGCCGTCTGGAGGTGGAATGTCAGGTCATCCACATCATCCTACACCGCCACATTATATGGGTGGTCAACCACCACCACAACAACAAACACCACCTTCTTCAAATTCCTGTCTCCCTCCAGAATACGCTGCAAGACCTTCTCCACATCTTGTTTTTAGTGGTGGAGGACCTGGCTCTACTCCTGATAACGGTATGTTTGGTACAGGTCCCGGATGCAGTGACTCTGGATTACTAAATGGTTCTGTGGGCCCTCCTCGTAGCAGCGGAATGATGCCCCCTCCTCCCCCAGACTACTCAAGTGGCATGCCTTCTGCATCAAACCCTTACCCACCCGGTTCTGATCTCAAAGCCTCGCCGTTACATGGGGGTCCTGGAATGGGTTGTGACATGGTAAGTCCAGCTGGAGGCCCTCCCCCATTGATGCCCTCTGATTACCCTTCCGGCAATGGCCCTGGTGGCAACGGACCTGGACAAGGCAGCAGTGGGTTCCCAGGAGATTCTGTTATGATGATGCCTCCGCCGCAACAGCAAAGTGTTTTACAACAGCATATGGGTGGTGGACCGCAAGGCCAAGCTCCGCCCCCTCCTCAGTATGTTCCTTCTGGGGGTCAGCACTCAGGGTCAGGTGGGGGTCCCCCATCGTCCATGCAGTCCATTTGTGGGGGATCTAATCCTAGTCCAGCTGGCGGTCCGGGTTCTGTGCAGTTTCCAGTAAGTTTTCATGGTTACCATCACTATTCAGATTAAATTTGATCTTTTTACACAGCACTGAGTTTTTTATTATCCAGTCAGTTGCTATGAAATGTATCGAATAGAGTTGAGCTTCTTACTGACTAACGTCGTGCTACAAGTATTTAAATGTTGTACATTTTTGGTCACGCTCATTTTTTAGTAGCTTTGTGTAGCGGTGGGTTATGACGTTAAGCTTTCGACCTTCGGTCACCAAGTTTAAACCTCGCTCCTAGTTTGATTTGAGCAATGGCGTAGTATCACTAGCTTCTGTGTTTAAAATGTTGCTCAAAGTACACAATTCTGTACCGGAAGAGTTGCAAGTGTTTGCATCACTGGTAAACTCTACATTTTAGTGTGACAATTGTGAAGGGTGTTTGCATGCTTGGAGCTTTAAAAAATTTTCCACTGAATTTTCGAATCTGTCAAAATGTCAGTTTTCTGCTTGAAATTTTCATCCACGTTGGAATCCTGGTGTCTTAGACATAAAGTGTGGGAGTCAATAGTACTGTGAATTACTGCTCATGGTTCGTTACTGTACTTCGCCATTGAGCGATGTTTATAGGATGCGTTCGTAAAATAACGGGATGCTCATTTCGAGACTAAGTGATATTAAATAAACCTCAAATTTAGTACGTAAATATGAAGAGTAAACTCATTGGCTGAAAGGTTTTTGGTTCACTCATAAATTACTGTGTTAACGTGTAGAAATATACCTAGGTAGCATAGATATCAGAATTAAATCAATATTCGCTTACCTTCACTCTCATTATGATTAAATCCATGAATATGTAATGATGACAATAATAATAGTATATACATCTCTAAAATGACCGTTGTGAAGATGCATCGAAACAATCCTCATATTCTAAGGGTCAAGAAAAGTAACGTTTCAGCTCAAGCGACGACGTCACCTAATGTGGATGAGCTCAATATATGATGACAACACATTTTCTAGCGATTTAGCGTATATACAATTAGGTTTTATATTGCGTTAAAATTTAACGGAGAAGCTGCCTGTTATTTTTTTATATTATTTCCCAAAAATTAATTATGATCCACTTTTTCTGCGTTCCAGCAAGAATATTCGTTCAGTCAAATGTCCTAAGTGGATCGTATCGAGTGCAACTACACTCCTGTTTGTCGAAAACTGCAGCCATCAGGTGGCAGTGTACTGGTTTCTGTTTGTGCACCTTTATTATTACCATTTTGTTCTACACAATATCTGCATGTCAATTTACAAACCCTTTTTAGATTTGAATGTGTATCTTATCCTTAAGTTGATTGCCCTCGAATCATGTCTCACCCGCCTATCAGTGTATATGTTTCGCGGAGCCATTATTTAAAAAATATGATCTAAACAGAGGAATCTGTCTAAACACTTTTATATTTCTTGATACCCCGGTATCACCTGAGCGCATGGACACCAGTAATACTTTCCATTAAATGAAATTATCATTTATTTTGTTAATGAATTCCTCGATTGTTTTGTGTCATACCTGCTTTAAATGCATTTAATGTTTTGTCAGTATATTTCTCCTTGTAGTACATTGTCTGCTTAATTACAATTTAACTAGCATTATACATTTGATCTTTTTAAATAATGTAACGATCTTGACAAATATCAGTCTGCCTGCACAAATTTGTAAAACCAAATGATCTTGGGTGTTTTCTAATATAGATCCATAGTTTATTGCAGTACTGTGAACGGACGATTTTAAAATTGCGATGGATATTGTTCAAAACAGTATTTCTCATTTTTATATTCTTGTGACTGACCATACTTCTTAAATGAATGACAGTAAAATTTTCATGTCCAACAATTCATTTTAAGTAGAAACTTCTCTTTGTCTTTTCAGCAACATCGTATTTTGTAAACGTTAGCATAAATTTTTTCGCTGAGCATTTTCGGTTCTATGACTGTAAAAGAATTTTCATCACACTTTCTGATTTACATTATTTGTCTTCAGTTGGTTTGATGTTTTCATTACATTCTTCAATTTATTATAATTGATAAATACTTCTCAAATTTACTCCTGCATATCTGTGTAAGTAATCTGCCTGCATTGACACTTTCTTTATCTTCTGCTCCGTACTGTAAGAACATTTTCAGGTTAACGTACGACAATATTTATTAAGAACCATGTTGCAGCAATATCTACATGAAAAAATTCTGTCATAAAATGTACGTTATCGCTCCTTTATGGAAAGGTTAAGATCCATACGAATGTAAATGCATTTTAACCACATTTGACTTGAAGAATTCTGACAGGTTTTTCGGTCTTATTGAATAGATACTGCTTGCTATGCATGCATTGGGTTTGCGTTATTGTTCAGCAATGGGATTTCGGCTTTAAGCCTGCTCATACACATGTTGGACTAACTGAATTGATAAATGTAAATCCTGTTGGTAATGGATAAAACTAGCAGATCTTAATTTACTGTTTGGAATCTCTAACATAAGCAACTTTTTCGATCCATTGGTGTTTTTAAACTTTATCGAAAAGAGCAACATAACTCCTGCTTGATATTCTTGTCAGTGACACCAATTGTGGATCATGTAGCTTTTTTGCTCTCTGCAAGGAAGCTTACGGAATGGTATATCCCCAAAGATATTAATTTGGTACGTAAGTATGCGTATCAGTCAGTCAGCTACAACGTAGGACCAGGCACATATATGCATCGGTCCAAGTTGCCATACCTCATTAGCACAACAAGATGAACACTGGATTCATAAAAGTAGTTAATTCAGAGGTGGTTATAAATAAAGGAAAGATTGCATATAAGGATATAGTACAGGAAGAAAGTTGTGGAGCGATTTAATCTCTTAGTTTAAGGGAAGACAGAAAGCGTATACACCTACGCTATTGTGATCGATTCTGAGCCATGTCACCACGAGTCTCCAATCATTGGTTACGATAGTCACGTGGATCGCAACCAAGTAGTCTGCATCTCCCAACATGGCTCAGACTAGAGGTTGGTGACTTCAATCACTGATGCTACGTCTTGGTTTGACCGCTCCTAACTTTCTTCCAACCATCCCCAACACCGGTTGGCATTGCACGTCTTGGTAATCGGTGTTTGGGCATACGCAACACGTGGCCCAACCATCTCAGTCGATGAAGATCCAAGACATCAACTGATTTACCATCATTCCCTTATACCCTGCATCTAATCTCACTATTACCCGGTGATCCCAGCAGATACGAGCAATATTCCTTAGGCATCTGTGGTCAACTACCAGTAGCTTACGAGTATCTCCCACTCTTAATGGCCATGTTCGCTGCCGTAAATTAAAACAACGGACTGCCGCGCAGTATACTCGTCCCTTAGTTGATAGATGGATATCTCGCCTTCTCTATAGGTGACGTAAGTTGGCAAAAGCCATACGAGCTTTTCGAACCCGTGCTGAGCTTTCGTCGGACACCAAACCACTAATGCTGATCAGACTTCCAAGATAAGTGAAGTTGTCAGCGCGTTCGACTACTTCACTCCTTATCCTTCAGGTGTTGACGCAGACCAGTCCTGAAGCAATAACTTGCATTTAGACAGAAAAGTATGCGTATAATATTTTAAGATCAAGTGTAAACATTTAAAACCTCACATCAGTATTCAGAGCTACTGTACCGGTCCTGTTGCAAATCGTTTTGCAGATAAAGGGGCGCATAATACTCTAAACCTAGTAGAAACGTTATCTTAAAAGTTTTCTATAGGAAATCTAGATATACGCATCCATATCAAGCAGTCTCGGGACTTGTAACGAGTAGTAATGTTTACTATCTCAATATGAAGTGTTGGTCCAGTGTAAGTAAAAACATGATTATTATTAACATATATTTAGATATTGCTACATCAAAGTACTCATTTAAGAAATATTGAGACCCGTGTATGTGACAAAATAAAAAACATCGACTACATTTGTAAATAAGAATGGACACCACAAATACTGTTCGCTGTTTTCAACCTTCCATGTAAACGCGGTTTTAAGTGTTAAAAACATTTGGCAAGTCATGAAGAAAAAGGAATTTGCATCAAGAAATATTCAAGTTCGATGGAATCTAGCTGCGTCTGAAGCGTTTGGCTCGTCCTCTTCCCCTGCCTCTCCTGACGGATTGTGGTGGGGAGCTTGGTGGTGATTCGTTTTGACGATTGTGTGATAGGACCTCAGGGGTAACAAATTTAGATGATGCTGTACGCCGTCGTGATGACAGCCGTATGCCGCTACTTTCCTTTTTTCCATGTTTATCAAGTGTTTGCGATGTTGGGCGATCTAGTTCATTAGACTCAGTTTTCAAATTGTGGTGTTTAATCTCTCGTACTCCAAGTATTTGTACAGTATCTTGCTCATTCTTTCCATCAACAGGTATGGTTGGTGTTTCATCCGTTGATTTTTTAGGCAAATCTTGTGTGACAACAACCAAGGGTTCTTGGTACATGGGCTTTCGGTCTATCGTTGGAGGTTCAGTGAGCTTGTCATTTGCTTTCGCGCATGGTCTGAATTTAAATGAAGTAGAATATAGTAAAAGGTTTAGTATTTATTATTAAGATACTCACAAATAAATTTATATAATTATGTACTGAAATATATAAATCGGCATTATAAGTTGTTTACACGACCGTTCTGAAATCTGTAATCTGAGTTCGCTACACAATGATTTGTGAGTGGATAAACTAATGTTCTAAAGACAACCAGTAGGACTACATCACTATACAAGACTTGATAAGGTTCATCCTTCTTTATTTAGATGAACTACAGTGAAGAGTTATGGTGTGTATTCTTGTGGACAAGAACATTTCATTCAGTGGTACTTTTATTTAATTAATGAGGGTTTAGCTAAAACACAGACCCTTCTATATGAAGCCAACAGATGTATGCACAAGCACAATCAACGTGGTTCATTACAACTTTAAATGGGACTCGATGTGTTTCGAGAAAAATGAGTTTTGAAAGTGCGTAACAAAGTCTATAATCATTTACGTTCACGTCAACAAATGAGGAAAACTAATCTCCGCTGCAGCTGTTCCTTTAATGTTTGTCAACTTGAAATACCAAAACATAACTTACTTTATTATACTGTCCAATGTGAAACGGTCGTGAAATGTATTGTAGAAATCACGTATGAAACTTTCTGATTTAGTTCCAACGGTTCTGGCAATTGTGGAAAAGTCTTGACCATATTTTTTCATAGCTGTTAGCACAAAAGCTAGTTCTGTTTTTGTCCATCGATAAGATATCTATTTTTGAAGGCAATAAATCGATTAGTTTGGTTCTGGATAATATGAATAATAAGTATCATATCAGTTTTCTTTGAATACGTATATAGTAACAATTAACGCTATCATAGGCTACGATGGTCAACGTTTTTCTGAACAGTAGTGTGAAAACTTTGGTAATAAAAGTAGGAGACTTAGTGGCCATAGTAATTGGGATGAGGTGGGCCTAGGTTTATTCTACTGAGCTGAATGTGCCTATAAACTCACACTAAAAGACCTAGTAATAGTGTGAATCGTACAGATGATTGACGAAAAGTTAGTGATATTAGGAGCAGTCTGTTAAAATTGTATAGTCATTCGCTTACTGATATAAAGGTAAGAAAGCGTTGTGCTGTAGAACTGAACGCAATCGAATGGAATAGGAATTATAGGCTGATAATCAAAATTTAAGGCATGAACGTGTGAAAATTTCTACATTACCACCAACAATTTCGAGCTATCCAATAGTATTTGCAACCGGGAGTTAATAAGTTTCTATGGAATATATGACATTGAAATGACTAACAATCTATATTCTAAGAATAGAAAGTGTGAATATTTTGTTGCAAATCTCTTGGGTTTTGTTATAATACAGCACCATAGATCTGTGGATGTGGAGAAATGATGACTTATAGTGTTGAAAATGCCAGAACATCCCTCCATATTCAGTTATTAACAGAAGACGAATATACTTTTCAATCTGTCTGTATGATTAAACAAAAAAATTTTGGGATTATTTGACTGAGTTACGGGTTGTGTACATGTTAAGAGTCTAGACGATTATTTCCCACCACCCGTGTAGGGGAATTACGACAGATGCTGTATACAACTGTAATCTTTAAGTAACAGATTGTATATTGTAGATAGGTGTTTATGAAAATGTATTTAAATATATAGCTATATTATACAATGGTGGGTGGATATATATATATATATATATATATATATATATATATATATATATATATATATATATATATATAGGTGCAGTTTAAACAATGAATGTTCTGACTAAAATCTAAACTAAAACTAGACATTACTTACCTTTGCGATTTAACCTTCTTCATTTATAAACAACAAACTCTAGACGTACTTTATTGTGGTAGAAAATTATTTATAGATTGCATTAGCGTACATCAAATTCCACTTACTAAATTGAACTAAAATTGTACATTTCAAGTTGATCATTCGAGAAATAACCGAAAATAGGAAAGTCCAAGTTTCCATTTATCAGTGGGCCAGTGAAAGTAAAGTGTATCATTCAGAAGGTCACTACTATACATACAGGTCACTAATAATTTTAGCTTTTAAATGTCTATTATCTACTGTGGACAAATCGGGATTCTATTTTAATTACGGATGCACGTATTTTTACACTAGACTTCAGAAGTTTATGAAAATGTATAACGATGACACACAGAATGAAACGGATTGTGGATCAAGATTTCAATATAACAGATGGGTTTTGTGAATATTATAGTAACTTCAATGGTTAAGATCAAGAGTCAGTTGAAGTTAGACCACCATGGAAAACCTGAAAGCACTGGACGACCGTCAGTTGAAGCTAGTCTGACTCATGATCTCAACCACTGAAATTACTATAATATCCACAAAACCCATCTGATATTAATCAACAAATGCTCACTAGTGACTGGCTTCAAAATGTATATCCTGAAGTTCTAGTGAGAAGTAGTGACCAGTGGAGTTCAACCAGGTCTGTTGTGAGATAGTAACTACTGAAGACTATGGTGGATGTGTCGCTTAAATTCGTGGATTAGTTGAAGTTAGACATTAACACCGTTGGATACCGGCCTAGTGGTTAAGTGCTTGCGCGCGAAACCAGTAGGTCTTGGGTTCGAGTCTCGCAGGGGGCGAGGTCGTGGATGCGCACTGTTGAGTCCCACATCAGGACTAAACGGCCGTCCAGTGCTTCCAGGTTTCCCATGGTGGTCTAGCTGCAACCGACTCATGATCTTAACCAATGTATCAAACGGGAGTTGGCTCAAATAAATAAGTATTTTA